GTCAATATGTCGAAATTCTGAGCATGGACTCCCTCGAGGGTCTCCTTTCAGGATTCCCATCTTGTATGCTTAACCATGTTTTTTGCCTGCTCCTGGATAGCCTCGACATTAACTTTGATCTGGGCCACTTTTTTTCAGGTTTGTTCTGGACCATAATAATTTCTGACTTGGCAGCCTCGAGCTCCTTGGCCAGATTCTCTTAATCAGAAACAACCGAACTCAGCTGATATTGGAGTCCCTCGATCATTTTGGCATGCGCCAAGTTCTTCTCCTATGCAGCCCGAAGCTGAATCTCAGCAAAAGCAAACTGTATCCGGGCAGTCTCTTTTTCCGAGGCTAAGCAATCCATATTTTTCTTCCATTCCTCGGTCTCGGCTTTGACCGCATCCACATCACCTCGGAGTTGCTCGATCACGTCAAGTTTATTCTGAACCTGCGAGTTTGGATTGTTAGCTACTAAGTCTGACTCATCATTACTAACTCCAAAAACTCTCCTTACCTGCTCAACCAGTTCGGTATGTTTCCTACGAGCCGCTTCCAGCTCAGCTTAAGATTTTTCATTAAGGAGCTTGTAAGCATCCCTCTTTTCGGCAAGCTCCCGAGCCTTAGCTTCGAAATGTTTTGACTCCACCCGGTATCGAAGAAAAGCCTCGTGATGAAGCACCGAGGCCTACAAACACAAAGGAAAAATGTTATGATTATTCATGATTAAAGCTAAGTACATAATCAAGGGGCATTCGAAATTACCCGATTTAGCGCCTGTTGAGCTTCGTTGAATAGGCAGGGCGCCTCTACCTCATTCATTTTTGTTTGATCCTCTTCGGTCACCAAGCACCGAACATAACTGGCAATTCCCACCGGGGTAGAAAGAACCCGAGCATCCTCCGGGATGGACATGTAAATTGCCCGCCTCCGAGTAGGATCAACACTCGGAGCTGGGAACTAGTTCACTAATCGAGGGCTTGAAGAAGGCCCGCCGGTTTCCGGGGACATTGTCACTTTTGGTACCGGTAAGTCGCCCAAACCGGTAACATCCTCTGAAGAAATGGATTCTAGGTCATCGAAGAAATTATGGAAAGAATAGACTACTCCTTGGGCCCCTTCACCAAGGTTACCTTTCAAAGCCTGGGCCTCGTTTATCATAGAAGTTGTAAATGAAGGTGACCCGGAAAGGTCAATCACCCCAAGCGCCTCTTTGGGTACGTTATCCTCTGACCGGGATATGCTAGTCACATTTTCTTTCTCAACCTCACTGGCTCTGGCCAAATCGATCTCGGCCCTCTCGGAGACTTCAGCCACTGTTTCTTCTACGGCCTCCACGGCTCGAGGCATTTCGGAGCCGCTTCTCACGCGGGCTACTAACTCAGAATCCTCCTCTTCCTCGGACTCATCCCTCAAACGATTGAGTGAGTCCGATGAAAGTTCTCGAGCGCTAGTTTTCTTAGGTTTCTGCGCAAGCCGTTTCCTCGGTCTTTTCCTTTCAGGGGTAGAGGGACTCAGAACTTTTCTTTTCTTTTTCTCTTTACCCTGTTTCGGAGTAGGGGGTCGGCATGTATATCATCGTCAGCTGAGGGGGGCTTATCTCGACGTCCTTTCCTAAACCTATAAAATGAGAATATAACGGATCAAGGACTGATGATAAAAAAAATGAGATCATATGTATTATTAGGGAAAAACCCTTACCATGATTACAGGCCTCCCATCGGCCCTTCGATAGCTCACGCCATAAACGCTCGGAGTAAGGTCTCTGTGTCACAACGCCCTCGACCCACTCTTTAAGTTCAGGAATGAGGTTCGGCATTTGGACAACAGCTGCATCACATTACATCGATGAGAAACCAAACGGAATGAAAAGCAATAAAAGAAATACCGAAGGCAAAGCTAAACTTACGTTTCATGTTCCATTTCTCAGGGAACGGAATGTACGCAGCCGGGATTAAGTCTGAGGTTCTCACTCGAACAAATCCTCCTAACCAACCCTGGTCTCGATCCTCGTCGATACTCGAGAACAAGGTCTTGGTGGCTCGGCGTGCAAGCTTAATTAACCCTCCTCGAAAAAGTCGAGGGTTGTACATACGCGTGAGATAGTCGATGGTGAATGGACATCCCTCGACCCTTCTCACGAAGAATCGAAGCAGAATAACGATCCTCCAAAATGAAGGATGTATCTTCCCGAGCGTCACATCATACCTTTTGCAAAAGGCTATGATAACCGGGTCTAGAGAACCTAACGTGAAAGGGTAAGTATAAACACGTAAGAAACCCTCCACGTAGGTGGTAAATGATTATTCAGGGGTAGGGACCACTACGTGTTTTCCTGCCCAGTTGCAATCCTCTTTAACGTTATCGAGGATGTTATCCGTGATCGTACATCTGTACCTCGAGACCGGTTCGCATCGATCAGGTACCATGGGCGTGTTTTCAACTTTGAAATCAGCCACAGTAGGGCACCCAGTAGGGATGTATGATCTCAGAGGAGGTTCCTCAGTAGCAGTGTTTTCAGAAGGTTTTGAAGAAGATGGTGTTTCTTTTTGAGGAACAGACTTTGAAGTTTTTGCCATTTTTATAAAAAAAAAAAACAGAAAGAGATTGTTAATAAGGGGAAGCTTTGAAGTTAGCAATGGCAAAACCAGAAGATGAAGAAGATGGAGTTCTTAGAACGCAAGAAGGATTTGAGCGTAAAAGTTATAACAAACAGATTTGAGGGTATTTATAGGTTACTCAAGCGGTGGTTCATCTCCCGAGGTAGCCGACTGTCAACTGACATACATTTAATGCCTCGAAGACCGGACTGACAAGACGTTTTCACTATTCTTATCACCTACATCATGTACCCGTCGTCACGATTTATCGAAGTAAGGACCGAGGGTTCATATCGGTTTTAGTCGCTTACTCTCCAAAAATGAGGGGACTATCTGTATACGGGTAGAATCGAATTCAATGCTCGATCGAGGCATCTGGAACAATGGTTCAAGGCTCGGTACCTACGTAAGAGATCGAAGTTACCGATATAACTAAGCTCGACATTGAGAGTAGAAGTTCAACAAAACTATCATACTCGCCCTCGAGTTTACCGAAGGCACCACCGATCCTGCTTCTAACGGCCTCGGGGAAAAGCTTCACCCACTCACATGACAAGTATCTGTGATTCTCGCCATTGACCAATTATTATAACGGAAATTACGGAATTTAGTCAAAAGGGGAGCCAACGGTCTACATAATTTTTTATAAAATAATGTCTTAAAGGTTTATCTCCCCGTATATATAGAAGGAATGAAGTAATTCAAGGAGGACATTGTAACATACTTAAGAGAACAAGATACCATTTTTTTTAAGCGTTGTTCATACTATTTTGTCTTCAATAATATCCATCTAAATTCAAAGGAACTTAACCTTGCGAGGCTTAAGTTGTTCAATCTGCGTTTGTATTTATTTTTCTATTTATTTTTCCATATTAAAACTAATTTCTCATTTTATATCAAATTAGATCATATATCCTTAAAATCACGTGTAAATTCAATTGTTATCCGATTTTTGGGGTAAACAACTTTAAAGTCAAACGAAAGCTTGAGAATTCAAACAACAGAAATATGCACGATGCAAATTGCCGTTTTCGGTACCAAATATCCGAAACATACTTTTACATAAGTTACAAATCTATATTTGCTCTGCTTTCGAAAACGTAAAACAATTTTGACCGAGTCCATGTTCTGTCCACTTTACGAAAACTTAGTTCTTAATGATCCAGCATCATATAGGCTCCTAATATTAATTGTTGGAATCAAATTACTTTAAAAATAAAAACTATCATCTCTTACAGAAGAACTATCGTGTCAAATTATTGAGAATAAAAACTAGATGCAGAAATGTATTTGAATTTATGAGTGCCACAGAAGTCACTGGATCTTTCGGTCTACGGTCTACGGTCTTCCAAACCAAGATGTAAGTCGTTCTACTTTTTCCAACGATGGGATGATCGAAAAAAAAAACCTATTTATAGATGCACACAGTTTACGTAATTCTAATTTAGCTCATCATTAAATTAGAAATTGTATCCGGGTATCAAAACCATTTAAGTTTAAACCTTAGCAGATCACTTTTGGAGGCGAGAGAGTTAGCTTAATGAGTAAAAATGGGCTTGGAGTAGAGCAAGTGGCTCAATGTGCATAATTGAAAGAGAGAAGTCTAGAGCAATGGAGTAGGCAGAGACAATGCACAATTGGCTAGATGTGGAGAGGAAACAACAGCGAAAACGGACTTAAGGGAGAAGGAACGAGAGCTAAGAAAAGTTTAGCTCTGGAATGTGGAAATATTTGAGTATGCACACCAAAATTTAAGGCTATAGCCTATGGGTGGAGTAGGCCGTGACTATAATCAATCCATTTGGTAAACCTTTATACATCTTTGTGTGATGTTTTAATCTCTACACATCCTTTCTTCTCCAACTCATTCTAATAAATCTTAAGTTACTCTGTAGCTCCTATTGGCTGGCTCAGAGATCATGCTTCCAATAAATCTTAAGTTACACCAATAGTTTATACTACAAAGTAGTAAGCATAAAAGCTTTCATGTTGCAAAAGCTGGACCTATTTAGTCCTAAGCTAAATATAAACCCTAAAACAAACGGAAAAGGGAAATTATTGTATAATAGAACAGTGAAAAAAGGTCATTACCCACTAAGCGTCAGCTAGCGTTCTTCGTCCTTCTTATCTTATGGAAAGATCTCCAACACTATGAGATTTTGAAAGCAACAACAACAATAGAGTAATGATCGCAGCCAGCAGCCATGACTCATTTTTTGTTTGGACAAATTAAAGAAGTGGTGGATGATAATTGATACCCTTCAGATCAGGTGGAAATTATTGGAAATTAAGGATTAATCTATTACTAACACTTACTTTTTCTTCTCAAATTGACATCTAACCAAAAAGATATAATGATTCATGAGAAAGACGGACGAAAAAAGACGGGAAAATACATACGACGATTATGACGAGTACCTTTCAGTTTTAAATGTTCGTCATCGCATCCGTCAGGCCTTCTGAGTTCCCCTATATGAGTATGTGATGAAAAGCCATCAAAATATTATCTGAAAATTCAGAAAAAGAATAAGAATATCTAGAGTAGAAAAGCAATTAGCAGCAGTGGCAATGGCAGCTCAACCAGTAATCAAGGTCGTTGCGCTCTGCGGTTCCCTCCGTAAAGGCTCCTGGAATTATGGTCTCCTCAGTGCTGGTACACTCATTTTTCCCCTTTAATTAATTTTGTTTCACCATATAGTTTTGGCGCTTGCTGCTATTAATTGTGATTGATGATTGCAATTGGGCGTAGCGATGGAGATATGCAAGGAATCTATAAAGGGAATAATGGAGATTGAGTACGTGGATATCTCGCCGCTGCCGTTTGTGAACGAGGATCTTGAGGTCAACGGAACTTATCCTGCCGCTGTGGAGGCTTTTCGTAAGAAAATTGAAGAAGCAGATTGTTTCCTTTTTGCTTCTCCCGAGTACAATTACTCCGTCACAGGTATCCCACTTTTTTTTACCGTGAAAACTTAGTTACACCAACTCAATGAGTTCGATCGTTTATATATAATAAAAATAAAAATATACATATATAATTATTTTTTAATCTGTATGGGATGGTAACTATATATAGATATGGATTGACATTGCAAATTAATTGCTTTAATTAGGACCCTTGAAAAATGCAATTGATTGGGCATCTCGACCTCCAAATGTTTGGGGTGATAAAGCAGCAGCAATCGTGAGTGCTGGAGGTAACTTCGGTGGAGGACGATCACACTATCACCTTAGACATATAGGAATCTACATTGATCTTCATTTCATTAACAAACCTGAATTTTTCCTGAACGCGTTCGAGTCACCACCAAAGTTTGACGATGAGGGTGTGCTGACAGATGAAGAATCCAAGCAGAGACTTAGACAAGTTCTTTTGGCTTTACAAGCATTTTCTTTGAGACTCAAAGGCAAGCTTAGTGAATAGAGTGAATATGGGATGACGAAAATTGTTTCCAGCTCTCAGTTTCTTCTTCTTTTTGTATTGGTAGATTTGGAACATCTGTTCACTTGTTTAGTTATGTCAGCAGGGTTGAAATTGTATGAGAGTGTTTCATTATTATATGAAAGCATATGATATATTAAGTGAAAAGCTCTCCAAGATTATATCAGAATTATTTAAAAACAATAATATCACAACTATACCTTAATATCAAATAAATTGTGGTCGACTATATTCAATAATCATCGTGATAGAATAATTAAAAACAACAATAGAATAGCCATGATAATTTTTACATTTTGACAAATTTTCTGCGATAACTTCAAATTCTATCTTATAATTGAACAGTAAAAAATGGTGAACACCCACTAAGCTTAGGCAATCGTCGTTCTTCGTGCCTTCGCATCTTAATAAAAGATTTCCAGCACTACATCAGAATTTGAAGATAACAACAACGATAGAATAATGAAAACAACAGCCATGACTTTTTATGTTTGGACAAAAACTGGCGGACGCTAACCTTTAGATTAGTTAAATATGGTCTTTTTCATTTGAAATTTGAATATCATTTTTTAGAACTCCGTACTTTCTTTATTTTACCTTTTAATTTTTGTTTTATTTTTTGTGGGAAACTATAAAGTTGTAGTATTGTAGTCCATAGCGGAGCCACTTTTAATTTGTTGAATTGAATCCCCCATCAGAAATTATTCGGATATATTTTTTGTTGTATACATTTACATTATTGAATACCTTTGACACAACTAAAGCTTTTTGTTTTCTAATTTCTCTCGTGAAAATCTTTTTTCGACACTAATTGTAGTTATCAAACATCTAACGCTTAATTTTCTGTTTATCATTTTTAATCTCAAAATCTTAAAATCAGGTGGAATTTTCTTACATCTTGTTTGGATGGTTGTTACCCAGGTATTGTATTGTTATTCCAAAATAATATTTGTTTTAGTTATTTATTTAAAATTGATTGTACCGTATTGTTAAATCTATTGTTCCGGAACAATGAAAAATCTCATTTTATGAAACAACTAATTTGATGTGGTGGGATTGTTTCTTATTTTTCTTTTTAACTACACCTTGGTTATTACTTTATAATTTTATTTTACCCTATTTTATATTTTACTCCACCCAATTACCGAACTTTTGTATTCCTTCTGCCGTCGTCCAAATTTTGGTTCGTAAACTTTGTTCGTTCATCAAGTTTCTGTTCGTTCATCAAGTTTCTGTTCACTTGATGGCTTCCTGCATTGGCGGCAAGAATTAAACTTTACAATTTGAATGATAATTATAGAGTATTCAAAATCTTAAAAATCATTAACTCACAACGAGTTTTAGCTTGAAAAAAGCCAAATTATGTCAATGATTATTGATACTTAGGGTTTTTTATAGGCAGAATAGTCTAGTTGGCACTTCTACTTGCATCGGTTTGTCCTCGTACTTTAAAATGTTTCATCTCCGGACATTTGTACTTGTTCAAATACTCTCTTTTAAACCCCTCCGCCCCGGGTGTATCTCACTCTCTCATGTGTGAATGACACATCAGATACATGTTAGTTGCCACGTCATAATCGTTTTCAGCAATTATAAATTTGATTGAAAATTTAAAAACAGAAAAAGAAAAAAAGAATGAAAAAAAAAAATCCATCCTTCTCTTTGGTCCTCAAAACTCGAGATAGAAAAAGATATACGCACAACTTGCAATTGGAGATCACCAAAAACACCAGAATTCTCCAAATTCTTCACACCATTTTGTATCTTCCATTATTATTCTCTTTGCACCTATAAACTCTTTGTGCGGCCATTGACACCCTTTCCCTCATTCATTTGAATTTATAAAATAAAACTTTTTAATCAAACCCCACCAGAAAAGTAAGTTCTTGAATTGTCACCGTAACTAGAACCCACAAAGAGGATCCAAAAAAAAAAAAAAAAAAAATAAAAAAAAAAAAAAAAAAAAATTACAAAAAAATTTAAGAATTCAAATCGACTAACCTATTCCTTCTTTTTTTTTGGGATATAAAGCAAAATCAATCAAACCCCACTAAAAGTATTCCAAAGCTCACCCAAAATACGGGTTAATTTCACTGATGGTCATCCAACTTATCATTTATTTCACAAAAGTTACTTATCTATTTTTAATCACTTAAAAATCACTCAACTTTACCTTTGTAACTTAAAAGTTATTCTAGTTCAAAACCTATAAAATATCCTATAAAAATATGACATGGCATTAAATTTAATTAAAAAATATAATTATAGTGCCACATAAGCTTAGATGGACTATACCCAATTTAGACTCATTTCATCCACAATTTTATTTGACCCATAATCCAAATGAGTTTTAATATTTTGAATATTAGAAGGAAAAGAAGAGAACAATTATTTTGTGCTAAATATATCTTATTTTATTTTTGAAATTACATAATGACCTTGCTAGTTTCCTGTTCTTGTTACTCTCTCCGTTTGTATCAGAATATTGTTGAGCAATACTAAACTTATATGCATCAGAATATTGAAATTGAAATGGAAAACAGAGCTTCTATGCACTGTGAGTTAATCTCTTGAATGCTCTTTGGTAAGTCAGCCTTAACATTACTATATTTTTACTTGATCCGATTGTAACATACTGAGTCTGACTGTTATGTGCTATGAAATTGTATGTAAAAACATCCATTTACTTTTTATTTTATTATTCTAGACAGTGAAGAGTTAAAGGAATCCCTCTGTATGCTCCTTATTCTCTTTATTGTGGCCCTTTTTGCGAGCGTGCACTGTGAAATTTATGGATATCAGAAGATCTCCATCTTTATAAAAGTGCCACCAACCACAACCAAAGAACAATCTCTTTTTTGTATGAAGTTCTAGGAATATAGTTGCTAAGGTCTATTTTAGAGTTAATTTTATTACTAAAGATGTACTTTTGATACTTTAGCCGATAATGCTGCTTCTTTGATATGGGTGTGCCTAAAATATTTTCTTTCCACTGTAATTCTAAGAATCAGAATGCTAACAACTAACATCTATTTTTGAGTTTCTTTGTTGGTAAATATGTTCTCCTTGATACTCAATCCAATTTCCCCTTATTTTTAATGCTAATGATTGGGAATGCTCTTGCTCTGAGATGGGTGTGCCTTAGTATTTTTCTTTGTCAAATCATAGACATCATATGATGAAGAGGTACTTTCCGATACTTTAGCCCTTATTTTCCCTTTTTCTAATTCTTTGTAAAGAATCAGTATCCCCGCTTCTTTGACATAGTTGTGCCTAAATTGTTTCCTTTATCAGTTAATAACAAAGTCCCCTTAATTTAGCCAGAATTTCTCTGTTTCCCTTTTGTTTCACATAAACAATCAGTACAATACTTGTTTCTGGCTGCTTGTAAAGTCTGAAAAGAGTAGAACTGAAGCGCAAAGCTCTCTGAAGGTGTGGAATCTCATTTCTAATTTATAAAGCAGGTCTCTTATTTCAGATGAAGTACCATGATCTTATATAATGTGTGTTTCTCTGGAAAATATTTTATTGCTGCTTAAATCTACTGGATCATCTCTTTTTACGTCATTTTATGTTAAAGAAAAATAATTTCAACATCCAATACAAGCTTCACTTGCATTATTTTTTATCTATCTAGCTTACAAGCCTATAGAAAGTTGCACAAGCTTATTTGTTTTTCCAGCATGCACATTATTGATGCTGAAGAAATGATCCTCTAAATTTCTAAGATATAAATTGTAAAAAATGACATATTCTTGCCTATGTAAGGGAAGAATATAGGGGACCTGCAGATTTAGTTAGCTAGTTTGGCAGATTTTTGGACATATTATACGATTATAGTCTGCAGTTAGATGTGGTTGAGCAATATTCCCTTCAACATATGCAATTTATGATTGTGTGGTCTTCCTCTTGGCAAAAGCAGTATGTGGTCCAATTTTTTACTTAGTGCCCTTTGTCTTATTTGTATTTTGAAGTAATTAATGAGATTCTTAATATTGGGAACATGTAAACTTAAGTTGATTTGTTGCAAGCTGAATCCTTTACTTGAAATTTTTCTGCTTTCTTCAAGACGGTTGTTATGTGGTTTCTTATGTGGGACAAGGCTGATTATAAATATTCAACTTATTCCCTCTGTAGTTATTGCTAGACCGATCTATATTATTGATAGTGTTTCCAGTTTGGGCAATATCATTTTTTTTAGCCTAGCACGTAGCGAGGACTAAGCTTTTTGAAAGGTAAAGTAAGAATCTTGTTCAAGCTAGCACTAGCTTCGGCTATTGTGGCATATATCTGTTGGAGAAACACACTTAGTTATGGTAATTGAGACTGAACTTGGAATACAAGTACGTCAATAACAGACAGAGCACTAAAAGTGAGCTATTTCACTACCAAAGATAGGTCATAGTGAAAATATATAAACAAACTGAAATATAAATGCTGGAATTTATTTTATTGTTTCCCCATTAAAAGTACTAGAGAAGTAGTAGCTAGTAGCTTATGGTTATTGATTTTTACAAAAGAGATAGGTGTAGTAATTTTTTTCCATTAGAAGTACTAATACATTATCTATACATTATCTTTTCGTGTGTTTTACTTTAAAGTTTGAGAAATAAAGATACTTGCATAAATTTTCTTTAATAAAGTTTACTTTTATAATAATTATAATTTTTTTATAGGATACTTTCAAACGAAACTTGGAAGAGTTCATTCAAAGTCAGCTGATTGATGATCAAGGTAGGTCAATCCAACCATCCCAAGAGGAGATCATGGACATGTGGATTAAGGAAGCTGGTGGAGTGCATAAGGGGAAAGTCTACGGCCTTGGATCAGAGTTTAGTCTAGGTCGTCGTACTTTTGGATTGTCTGGTTCTTATTCTTCCTCACATTGCTCGGTTGATCTGGATGAGTTGAGGAATTGAATAGGAAGGTAGCGAAGATTACTGAGTTGTATCTTCAAGAAAGGGCTGCAAGGGAAGAAGAGGCAAAGCGGAGGGAAGAAAAAGATACGTGAAAAGAGGAAGAGGAAAGGCGAAGGGGGGAAGAAATGAGGCAAAAGGACGATGCATTAAGACTTGTCACTAGTGATGTTAAAAGTCTCAAATCTCAGATAAACTCCCTCTTAGCATCTGGTGTATTTTTTGTGCCCC